GACAAATTTTTCTAATTCGAGTATCCGATTTTTTACAAGGGTTTTTCGACTTTTCTCCTTTACACTTGCATCTGGAAGCAAAAACAATTTAGCAGTTCCGTTGAGAGCTTCCTACGTTCACATGTTCTTTGTATTCTTCGTGTACCAAACAGGTAAGATGACTTATTTTTACATATATACTTTGGACTATATACTGTATTTTTTCATTGAGCGTTTCTCCCGGTTTGTCTTCTTCAAAATGAGCACGAGAAGTTTCAAAAGAGTCGGATAGCACGTCGATGTCCATTTAACAGAGCCTGGATACGACGCAACATTGATAAATACGCGTATTGCAGATCACGTTGATTAACCATTACATAATGTATATGCACTTTTTGGATTTTAACAGTTTTGCACTGCTACAGCTAGCCATTTATCGAAAATGACCAAGGCTACAGAAACGGCAACTTTTTTTGCGATAATTTCGGCGATTTACTTCACTTTCCTCTTCGGTATTATTCCATTACCAGAAATCGTTCAACGAGAGATTTTACCTGTGGTAAAGTATCATTTATCTCGACGTTGATTGTTCGTGTTCATCCTGCGATTTATCATAAAAAAATTTTTTTTATTTTCTTTATATTTTTTATTAGCTACCGTGGTGGGCGCTCATAACTTTTGGATCATATTCGCTTGGAAACATTGGATACCATGTATATAGATTTAGAGATTGCGAAGATGCATATCACGAATTGATGGCGGTAATTACCTTTTTCAAATTTTCATATATTTAGCTTCCAGCCTTCTCTGATCAAGTATTATTATCTTTTTCAAGGAAATTCAACTTGCCAAAGAGGATCTAAGGAGCAAAAATGTTTCAGTTGATTAACATCTGAATTCCATTTTGCGATGTCAACGCACATGACATTAAAGATGCTCAAATGGATATTCCCTTTTGATAGACCGAAGATAACGTATTAGGTGTAGAATAGTCTATAAATAATTTCCCGGTGTCAACAATTCTTGTGAGATTGTTTACTGATTTTCATGGTGGGATAGTCAAAAAATTAGATGATAAATATCAATTAATCACTGTGTTGATACGTAAT